GAAAAGAAACACATTGTAAGGATTCACATTCTTAGACTTGTTTGCTTCAGCAAACCTGCTTTATACTTTACAATAGAATATTTCTTGTTCCTTGAGGACAGGCGTGCCATATTTTACTCATTTTTGTAGGCTGTACACAACTTGTATGGAATGCTAGTGCGGTGCAAAGAGCTTTAGTTTCAGAAATTATCAGTGTAATCGGTTTGTTGAGCCATCTTGGTGTGATGTCTTCCAAAAATAAAACAGTCCATTTTTCTCCAATCACTATTCTTTTTGATCTCTTCCCTCCCTAAACACACCTTAGGTGATGTCATAACTTTCTGGTCAATTTCAGTTGCTGAAAATCAGACCATGTCAAAATGTCACTCTAATGGCTTGAGTGGGACCTTCGGGTGGGACATGAAAGTCATGGTTTTGGCTCTCAGACGCTTAATGTTCTCTTCACTGCCGCCTTTTTGTTGAGGCGAGTCTCTTAACTGGCTACTGCTGGAGTTCCCTTTCAATTGATCCCTGCTTCTCGGGATAACTGGCCCTTGTTTGAAATTCCTTTTCTAGGGCCCATATGAAAAAGCCTAGTGGTCCTTCTTTTCTCTGTACATTTTCCTGAGAGGTCTAGCTCCAGCTTGGTCTTTTCCATCCGCCCACTTCCAGCATGCAGCAGGACACCCAGTCTCCTGGGTGAGGATCCAGCAGGGCAGCTCAGGACCACAGAGTCCATCTGACTCAGAAATATACATCCTTGCCCCACCAAAGGGTTAGATGGGAGGCCGCCTCATGGCATCTCCTCTCCACCCCGCCATCTTCCTTCAATCTTCTTGCTCCCCCTTGAAATACAGGAATAAATCATCAAGAATGCTGACTAGACAGATTTGCAAGGAGGGAATGGATCACCGGCCTCTCCCTCTCCATCGCTTCCCACCAGAAACACTGTCCTCTCCACAAGGCCAACTGCCTCCTTTCATTCCTTTCCCTGCCTTCCAGTGTAGGCTGAAAAGGAGAAGGTTGGGGAAGAATTTGGTGGAAGCAGGGCTAGACATATTTTATTAAGCCCTGGAGAAAGTGGCTCGGTCACAGGCATTTTTCGTTAGAAGATGGGACACTCCGCCTGCTTTCAGCCGTGAGCCTAGTGCCCATTCTGGGACAAAGGAGGCATCCCGCTAAACATCTTTTAGTGAGTGCTATGTTGCTCTATCCAGACCTTTATTTCAGGACTGAAGGATGTGTTCCCTGAGCTGCTCAAAGTTTGGACTCTACAGTGCTCAGCTAAGTCACACTTCAAAAACTCACCCTCATCTAAAGAAAACTGCTTTCCCCAAAGTCATGGTCCTTTCTGGAGGAGGAAGCCCACATCTAATGACTAGTCAACTTAGGATACAAAGACCTCTTCCCCTCGGCCTTCTTTGGGACAACTCTGAAGAACAATTCCAGCTCCAAAGCTCCCTATTTTATCTATTGTGCATAACAAATTAGCCCAACAGTCAGTTGTCAAAAACAAGAAACTTACTCTCTCGGTATCTGTGCATCAGGAACTTAGCAGCAGCTTCACTGGGTGGTTCTGGCTCAAGGCTTCAGGTGGTTACAGTCAGGATGTTAGGGCCACAGTCATCTATTAAAGGCTGGACTGGGGCTGAAGAATCCATTTCAAGATGGCTCCCTCAGTTCTTGACCTTGTGGAACTTTGCACAGACTGCTCAGGAGTCCTCACAGCTAGCAGCTAACTTCTCCCAAACCAGGCAGTCCCAGAGGGAGAGCAGGCAGGGAGCTGCAGTGCCCGTGTGACCTAGGCTCTGACTTGTCACATTAACTTTTCTTCTGTTCATCAGAGCCACGATCCGGCCCACACTCGAGGGAAGGGGGATTTGGACGAGAGCATCAAACCACTCTGGGATGGGGAGCCTTCGTTACGATTGCATCACAGTTCCACCTTCTCTCTGCCCAACCTCATCTTGCTTCCTTCTCCTCGACCCCTGCCCACTTACTGTTCTGCAGAGCACCCCAATATACTTCCTACTCAAGAATCTCCATCTCAGAGCCTGCTTCCTGGCAACCCAACCCTGCAACAATCCTGTCACACTAGCTCCCTGACTTAAGTTCTCTGAGCCTCAGTTTCCCTTATCTGTAGGATGACCTCATAATAACTCCGTTCCGGAAGCTGACGGGCTTCATAACAGCTCACGTATTTATCAAGCACTCGCTGCGGGCCCGGCGCGGTTCTAAGCACTTCGAATTTGGTTCATTTCATTCTCCTAACAGTCTTATAGGTAGAATGACTACTTCATTACCTCACCGAGGGAAAAGACCGAGGCGCAGAAAGGTCAACATCCTCTCCCAAGGCCACGTAGAAACGGAATGGCAGCCACCGTTTTGATCTCAGAGCTCACACGTCAGCAGTCACCCACCATATTACATGTGTGTATACCTGGGCTTATAGCAAGGCGGTCACAGGATCTAATTACACGACTGGGCAAAGGACTGCCACCCAAATGTGAAAATCGGGAAGGGGTACAGTGCTACAAATAAAATTGGTTTTAAAGAAAAGAACAGGGGGTCATTTTATCAATTGCTTACATAAAGCATGACAGGATAGTATATATATTAGCATCCCAAGGCTTCTGTGACGAACTACCACAAACCGAAGGAACCAATTCTCTCACCGTTGTGGAGAATGAAGTTAGTAAACAAGGCATCAGCAGGCTTCTTTCTTTCTGAGGGCCATGAGGAAGATCTGTCCCAGGCGCCTCTTCTCACTCAGCTTGCTGATGACTGTCTCCTCTCCGTGGCGCTTCACACTGTCTTCTTTTTATGCATCTTCATCTTCACATGGCCTTCTCCCAGTATGTGTGTCTGCCTCCAAATTTTCCTTTTTTGTAAAGACACAATTCGTATTTATTACGGCCCACGCTAATGACTTCATTTTAGGTTTATTACCTCTGGAAAGACCCTATTTCCAAATACTGTCACATTCTGAGATATTGGGGTTTGGAACTTCAGCATATGAATTTGGCAGTGACATTAAATTCAACCTGTACCATATAGCAACAATATACGTGTATAACAAAAATGTTTACACATATAAAAATAACAGACAGATACAGTTAGCAAAAGATTTTAACACGGTCTATCAGAGATTGAGTGGATTGAAAAATAAAGATATATAAGATTTTAACAAAATAGTAAAGAGGTACAATTAACAAGATGGAATCACGGGGAATTCACCTTTTCAAATGTCCCCGATGCATTTATAAGCATTAATTGCATACTAGGCCACAACGAAATCTTATATTCAATTAACTAAATACAGTTCAGACACTTTAACCACCAAAATTTTAACTACTTGGAAATTAAGACATACTTTCCCAAATACGTTAGGTCAAGGAACAAATAAAAATACAATAACTGACTCAAACTAACAAAGCATGAATGCTTCATACCAAAACTAATGGGATACAACCAAAGGAAGAATACTCTGGAAAGTTATTAGCAAAAGAGTTTGAAATTTTGACCAGAGCTAAATGATACACTATCTGAGATTTGTTTTAAAATCACTCCAGGAGGTGGAGGAGAAGGAAGAAGAAGGGACGAGTTGTGGTTGGAACAGGGCGATATTTACTGAAGCTGGGTGACAAGGACATGGACCTTTATTATACTACGTCTCTGCTTTGCATGCATGAATGTTTACATTCCGTAATAGAAGGAGATAAGATAAATACATGTGGTAGGATAATATTTTTGAAATATTATCTAAAGAATTTTTATGTCTTGTAATTCCTAGTAGGTTACCTCCACCCAACTCTCCCTTCATCAAATTTACACCCTGAATCACAAACTGTGTGATAAAGAGCATTGTCCCGAAGATATGAGATCTGGTTTGGAGAAAGAGATATGACAAGAGAATGGAGCAAAATAGATCCTGGGATGGGGTCTGGCTTCCTGTCCTCTGGAGTCAGCCTCCCACTTTGAGATGGAGATGGACAGGGCCACAGAAAATGATAGAAAACTCAGACCAAGTAAAAATGAAGGAGCAGAGGATTAGAGGTATGGGGTGTGGACTGAGGCAGCAGTGGAGAGAGCTAAATCCCTCTGGCATGGTGTCGCGGCCTGTGGGGCTGCAGGCGATGAAACGGCACGTTACTCCTGCTGGGACCTTGGCCGAGGTACAGGGCATTTTGAACCGTCCACCTCTCC